GCGTCTTTTATATTTCTATACATATCGCTGCCATATTATTAACAAGAATATAATTTGCTACGTTCTTCATACGCATGCCAATCTAGATCTGAACTAGAACTGAACTAGAACTGAGCTAGAACTGAACTAGAACTGAACTAGAACTGAACTAGAACTAGAACTGAACTAGAACTAGAACTGAACTAGAACTTAACTAGAACTAAACTAGAACTAAACTAGAACTGAAATAGAACTGAACTAGAACTGAACTAGAACTGAACTAGAACTGAACTAGAACTGAACAAGAACTGAACTAGAACTGAACTAGAACTGAACTAGAACTGAACTAGAACTGAACTAGAACTGAACTAGAACTGAACTATAACTGAACTAGAACTGAACTAGAACTGAACTAGAACTGAACTAGAACTGAACTAGAACTGAACTAGAACAGAACTAGAACTGAACTAGAACTGAACTAGAACTGAACTAGAACTGAACTAGAACTGAACTAGAACTGAACTAGAACTGAACTAGAACTGAACTAGAACTGAACTAGAACTGAACTAGAACTGAACTAGAACTGAACTAGAACTGAACTAGAACTGAACTAGAACTGAACTAGAACTGAACTAGAACTGAACTAGAACTGAACTAGAACTGAACTAGAAACTGAACTAGAACTGAACTAGAACTGAACTAGAACTGAACTAGAACTGAACTAGAACTGAACTAGAACAGAACTAGAACTGAACTAGAACTGAACTAGAACTGAACTAGAACTGAACTAGAACTGAACTAGAACTGAACTAGAACTGAACTAGAACTGAACTAGAACTGAACTAGAACTGAACTAGAACTGAACTAGAACTGAACTAGAACTGAACTAAACTGAACTAGAACTGAACTAGAACTGAACTAGAACTGAACTAGAACTGAACTAGAACTGAACTAGAACTGAACTAGAACTGAACTAGAACTGAACTAGAACTGAACTAGAACTGAACTAGAACTGAACTAGAACTGAACTAGAACTGAACTAGAACTGAACTAGAACTGAACTAGAACTGAACTAGAACTGAACTAGAACTGAACTAGAACTGAACTAGAACTGAACTAGAACTGAACTAGAACTGAACTAGAACTGAACTAGAACTGAACTAGAACTGAACTAGAACTGAACTAGAACTGAACTAGAACTGAACTAGAACTGAACTAGAACTGAACTAGAACTGAACTAGAACTGAACTAGAACTGAACTAGAACTGAACTAGAACTGAACTAGAACTGAACTAGAACTGAACTAGAACTGAACTAGAACTGAACTAGAACTGAACTAGAACTGAACTAGAACTGAACTAGAACTGAACTAGAACTGAACTAGAACTGAACTAGAACTGAACTAGAACTGAACTAGAACTGAACTAGAACTGAACTAGAACTGAACTAGAACTGAACTAGAACTGAACTAGAACTGAACTAGAACTGAACTAGAACTGAACTAGAACTGAACTAGAACTGAACTAGAACTGAACTAGAACTGAACTAGAACTGAACTAGAACTGAACTAGAACTGAACTAGAACTGAACTAAACTGAACTAGAACTGAACTAGAACTGAACTAGAACTGAACTAGAACTGAACTAGAACTGAACTAGAACTGAACTAGAACTGAACTAGAACTGAACTAGAACTGAACTAGAACTGAACTAGAACTGAACTAGAACTGAACTAGAACTGAACTAGAACTGAACTAGAACTGAACTAGAACTGAACTAGAACTGAACTAGAACTGAACTAGAACTGAACTAGAACTGAACTAGAAAACCCACTAAGCCATACGGCTTGTCAGCAGGTGTAAAATTTAAAATATAAAATAATTTATTAATAAAAAATTCATTGCGAACTTATAAACTGTTCTTTCAGTAGTTTTTTCCTTTTTAAACTTGTTGTTTTCGTTTATTATGGATACAGGTATCTTGTTAAGGACTGATGGCAGGGTAACTCCAAGAGTGCTTTTACCATATTCATTTTGGAAAACGATCCACTTTGTACCTTCCTTGTGCTCTTCTTCTTGTGTTGTACTCATGATCGATGACACTCATGAATCGGTTATCATTATAGAACTCGGTTAATATAGTCATAAAATATATGTTTTTTACGTTTAATACGTTCATAGTTTTGGTTATGTTATCGTTGGTGTTTTTTTGGCTTGATTTGTGTAAGTATTATGTTGAATTGTTTGTGAGTTTAGTTGATTATTATCGTTTATATTTGACAATATGTTGTTATTGATTGTGTTGCTGGGGTTGTAATTAGTTGTTGTATTGATTTGTGTTGAGTTGCTTGCAGAAAAATTATAATTTTTTCTAAGGATTTTGAGTATTTGGTTTTGAGTGTTTTGTATTATTCGACAGTGAGTTGAACTTCCCCATGCAGCAATACCATGTCTTATATAAGACTCTGCTAATGAAAAGTAAACTTGTCTAAGTACATTGTACGTTGTGCAGTAACTTAGATGACATATCATAAAGGCGGTTTTTTCGCAGTTTTCTTTGTAGATCTTCAATATGAGTTTTCCATTTGAATTTGCTATCAACATATACCCCTAGATATTTATATGCATCTACTAGTTCTATTAATGTTGTGCAGTTTTCGGCTGTTTTTGTGATTTTTCGTGTAGGCATTACTGTCGTGATATATGATTTTTATGGGCGTTGTTGGGATATGTGGTGGTTTAATATGCATTACCATTGTCTTTGTTGCATTAATAATGAGTCCATTATCGTGACACCATTTATTTGCGGTGTCCAGTTGTTTTTTGCATCTGATGTGTAGCACAGTTGATGTCCTGATTAGAGACCACAATTGCCGTATCATCTGCATAAGCAAATGTTGATTTCCCCTGTAGGGTACTAATCATTTCATTTGCATAGATTATATATAGTATTGGTCCAATTTTGAACCTTGAGGTACTCCGCAGTCGATTTCTACATCATGACTGTACTTGTTTTCTATTTTTACGCGATAACGTCTGCATCCAAGATAGTTTTTGAACCAACTTAATGTGCTTCCTCTTATTCCTATTCTTTCCAACGTTTCTAATAGTTTGACATGTGAGAGTGTATCAAACGCTTTACTGAAGTCTATGAATAATACTAGGCAGTGCATATTTTTACTCAAGCAGGAGTTTATTAAATTCGCGAAGTTTCCTAATAACTTGTTGATGTTTTTTCCCCTTTTGAAACCCAAATTGACTTTCATTAATGATGTTAAATTTCTCAAGGTAAGCCTTCAGTCTTCTTGCAACGATTTCTTCCAGTATTTTTTCTATAGCCGGTAAAATTGCAATAGGCCTGTAATTGTTGTAGTCGTTTTTACATCCATTTTTAAATATTGGTCTTATTATGGACGTTTTAAGCACGATTGGTACGATACCGTTCTCCAAGCTAGAGTTTATTAAGTGTGTTATTATTGATGTGAGATAATTTGCATTATTTTTCAAATCTATTGTTCTTATATCATCAGCACCCCGCGCTCTTTTTTGTATCGAGAGACTTCAATATATAATAGATTTCTTCTTCATTGGTGTATTCCATATAAAACGAATTTTGACGGATTATTTCAACACTATTTATTGTTTTAATATCGCAATTATGAATTATTTTTTTCACATTTTCTTTAAAATTTGTTGCAAATCCGTTTAAAGTACTTTCTAGGTTGTTTGATTTAAAATTCTTTATTATCACTTCATCAATATTATTCGATTTCTTCCCTATAATTTCATTAATGAGTTGCCATGTTATACGCATATCGTTTCTATTTTCGATAAATTTCTTTCTATAATAGTTATTTTTTTTCGAAGTTTATTCGTTTATTTAATAAATTTCTATAAGTTTTATATTCTTTTTCATAACTTTTATTATTTTTATTCTTTCGCCACCTTTTATAAAGTTTATCCCGACATTCACAGAGTTTAACAATTTCTTCGCTTATCCACTGGTTTTGAGATCTTTTTTTACTAGGTTTGATTTCCTTTTTAGATTTGTTATATATTTCACTAAAAGTTTTATATATTTTGTTATACAAATCGTTTGTGTTTTTGTGTTTGATGTATTAAATTATTCCAGTTTGTTTCTTTAATTTCTTTCCACACTGTATTGTTGTTAATTTTTCGTTGTGGCTCGTGTGTTGTTGTTTGGTTGTTATTCTTCTGTTTGCTTTCTTCTTTGTGAGTAGCAAAAAAAAGAGAGTAGTGGTCACTTATTGTTGTAGTTATTATTGATGCATAAGCATATGGATTTGTTTGTTTACTTTTTATAAATATGTGATCAATACAGGTTTGTGTGTTTTTGTTTAAATCTTCACGAGTATTCTCTGTACAATATTTTGCATACCATTCGATATTAGCATGTCGAGGTATGTCATTGTTGTTATATTTTCTTTTGAAATATCGATGTTAATATCTCCTATTAATATGATTTTTTCTTTTTTGTTTATTTTGGTTATGAGAGTTTCAAGTTCGTTTATAAAATCAGTAACTTTGTGATCAGGGGGACGATATATTGAGAGGAGAGAAAAAGTTTTACTGTTTGTTTTTATTTTGAGATGTAAAAGTTCAAAAGCCTTGGTGTTTGAAGAGATTTGGGTATAATTGATATTTTCTTTTATGTAAACGGCGATTCCGCCTCCTCTGCCCTCTCTGTTTATGAAAACTGCATTAAATCCTTGTATATTGTAAAGAGAGTTCTCATTATCACTTATATTTGTTTCCACAAGTATTATACATTTTATTGATTTTATTATTTGGTTTATGCTTACAAGAAACGATGTAAAGTTAAGCCTAAGTGAGCGAATATTCATGTAAACAAATGATGTGGGATAACTTAAGTATTGTTTATCAATTTGATTAAAATTGTTCAGAATCTGATTTTTTTGTAAATACATTTTAATGAAAAACGTTTTTTTAATAGTGTTGTGTTTATAATGATTTGTTTAAAAAGTCTTTATAGAAATATTGTTTAAATTTGAACTGTGGTTGTTATGGATTCAATATCAGTGGCGTTGTTGATTACTATCGAGGGGCTATTTTCGGATTTACGAGCGAATATTTTACCATTTCGGACCCAAACATATTTCCAGTGGGCATCACGGGCTTTGGTCTTCGCTATCCATAACAACCGACGATAGTAGTTTGTTAATTCATCATTAATGTATATGTATTTAGTTGTGCTACTATTATTATCATTATTGTTGATTATGTTTGCGTCTACTCTATGTCTCTGGATTTTGCTCATTAGTTCTAGCTTTTTCCTCAGAGAGAAAAATTCGACGACAATTTTGTTGTTTTGATTTCTCAAACGAAAGGCCTGGTTAATATCTCTTTCGCTAATTTCAACGTTTAGAGTAGCTGCTATTTTTTTAACAACATCGATTGGCTTTATTTGTTTATCTTCGACGTTTTTAATTTCAATGTTTTGTGCGATCATATGTTGATCTATTTTATTGATACGTGTGTCCAGAGAGTTTATTTGCTTTTCTTTTATTTTATCTTTTTCATTAAGTTCGTTGACTTGCGCTACTAAAGTAGAGATTGAGTTGGTTATTGTTGATAGGGCTACCTGGACGTCATTTTTCATTTGAGAGTGCAAGCTGTTTACACTAGTTACTAGCATCTCTATTTGCGCTTTTATCTCCTGCAGATTTGTTTGTAGGGTGTTTAGTTTACCATTAACAACTTCAAGAGACAATGACTCTTTATATTTCTTCGCTCCTTCATTATCATCGAAACTATCATCTTGACGCTGTTGTTTTTGCTGTTGATTGTTTTCGTCAAAGACTACAACTTGGTAAAGGTTGGTGGGTGATCTGCTACGCGGCTTGCACACATGACATTTCCAATTTTTTCTCTTCTCACTGGTCATGGTGGAGTACGTAGACTCAGATAGAGGAGAACAGGGAGAGAAATGGTAGTTGGAGTTACAATTGTAGCATTTTATAAAATTTGTTGTTGCAATTTGCATTTTGCACTGATTACACACAACACTGCTCATTTTGTTGTTTTATTATCTTTGATTTTACTTTGCGTTGATTTATAATTATTGTTTAGTTGAGAATTTTTTAAATAATATCTTTTATAACTTTTAAAATAAACAATTTTGTAATATGTTATTTTCACTATTGATTTTGGATCACTATTGTATTTGTTTGTGATTTTTTTAAATTGTTTTTTGGCCAATTTTACTTGTTTTTTTTTTCACTATTTAGCAAGCACGATTTAAAATACGTCCGCATATGTTCGCAACGACACTGAACTGAACTGAACTAGAACTGAACTAGAACTGAACTAGATCTGAACTGAACTAGAACTGAACTAGAACTGAACTAGAACTGAACTAGAACTGAACTAGAACTGAACTAGAACTGAACTAGAACTGAACTAGAACTGAACTAGAACTGAACTAGAACTGAACTAGAACTGAACTAGAACTGAACTAGAACTGAACTAAACTGAACTAGAACTGAACTAGAACTGAACTAGAACTGAACTAGAACTGAACTAGAACTGAACTAGAACTGAACTAGAACTGAACTGAACTGAACTAGAACTGAACTAGAACTGAACTAGAACTGAACTAGAACTGAACTAGAACTGAACTAGAACTGACTAGAACTGAACTAGAACTGAACTAGAACTGAACTAGAACTGAACTAGAACTGAACTAGAACTGAACTAGAACTGAACTAGAACTGAACTAGAACTAGAACTGACTGAAACTAGAACTGAACTAGAACTGAACTAGAACTGAACTAGAACTGAACTAGAACTGAACTAGAACTGAACTAGAACTGAACTAGAACTGAACTAGAACTGAACTAGAACTGAACTAAGAACTGAACTAGAACTGAACTAGAACTGAACTAGAACTGAACTAGAACTGAACTAGAACTGAACTAGAACTGAACTAGAACTGAACTAGAACTGAAACTAGAACTGAACTAGGAACTGAACAGAACTGAACTAGAAACTGAACTAGAACTGAACTAGACTGACTAGAACTGAACTTAGAACTGAACTAGAACTGAACTAGAACTGAACTAGAACTGAACTAGAACTGAACTAGAACTGAACTAGAACTGAACTAGAACTGAACTACTGAACTGAAATAGAAAACTAGAACTGAAACTAGAACTGAACTAGAACTGAACTAGAACTGAACTAGAACTGAAACTAGAACTGAACTAGAACTGAACTAGAACTGAAAATAGAATGAACTAGAACTGAACTAGGAATGAACTAGACTATAACTAGAACTAGAACTGAACTAGAATGAACTAGAACTGAACTAGAACTGAACTAGAACTGAACTAGAACTGAACTAGAACTGAACTAGAACTGAACTAGAACTGAACTAGAACTAGAACTAGAACTGAACTAGAACTGAACTAGAACTGAACTAGAACTGAACTAGGACTGAACTAGAACTAGAACTGAACTAGAACTGAACTAGAACTGAACTAGAACTGAACTAGAACTAGAACTGAACTAGAACTGAACTAGAACTGAACTAGAACTGAACTAGAACTGAACTAGAACTGAACTAAAACTGAACTAGAACTGAACTAGAACTGAACTAAAACTGAACTAGAACTGAACTAGAACTGAACTAGAAAGTTTCAGGGAATCAGAATAATAAGAGTAGAATTTGCAATTCCTCATAATGGAAAAACTAGTTATTGTTTCCTTTATCTTTACACCTGATTCAATGATTCTCAAAACTTTACAATATGACCTTAACCATATCATTCCGGAGACGAAAAGTCACATTTCTTTAACAAATTAGTTATCCAAAATCAAATTTTTGCTATTGATGTTAGAATACAAATCAAAAAGTAACCCCGAAGTTCCCATTTGCATAATCAGTTAGTTAGTAGTCGGCAAACAATACCAACACAAAAATTATTATTGAAAAATATGAGTTAAAACTTCTATTGAAAAACTTTACAGACAAATATGTCAAGCAATAGTAGCATCACATGTGTCCAAAAAAAAAAAAATTATTGAAAAAAAAACTTATTAAAACTTTTTTCTAAACGGCCATTTTATAAATTATGTGTTAGATTTATATAAATAATAATTTATTTCTTCTTTTTATATATATTTTTCTCTTAAAACATTTGTTTAGTTATAGGAATTGTTTTGTAATTTGAAGGACCTTTTTGGTTAGAATTGCTTATTCTATTATTTTTATTTTTTATATTTTTTATTTTATTTCAATTTTGCAAAACTCTTGATTGCTTACAAGCTCTTAAGTTTTGTTTCGATTTTGTTTTTATTTTTTATGGAAAACTTTTGTTTGTGCTGATTTAAAATTTTATAAAATTTTGTTTTATTGTTAAGTTTTTCTCATATACTATGAAGTGTTTGTACGTTATTGAACAGTGGGGGAAAATCTGAATATATCAGTAATAATGTATGTATAAATAACATAAATTTAGACCATTGTCGAAATTATGTTAACCTAACTCTTAAGATTGAGATTAAATCAGTATTTTCAAAGGCATTTCCTTTAAACTAAAAAAAATCAAAAAGTATTTGTTAAACTTTTAACGTTGCATGGTGTTTATTGATCCCACTGTGTACGGCAATTGTTTGCTTGGATACCAGTTACTCTAGTAATTTCTAAATTATGTATTTCATCTAGGAGTTCGTAAGTATTTTTTGTAAATTTATAAAAAAAAATTACAAACTTTTCAATTTAGAGGTCATATGTATGTTGTGGTAAATATATAAATTAGAGAATATCGTAATTCGTATATTAAAAGTAAAATATATAACAGAACATTTAATTATTTTATTACTAAAGCAATTTTCTTTTGAAATTATCATACATAATTATTTATTCCCAGATTAAAGCATTTTTATTTCATAGATTTAAATAAGTCCCATAAATTTTGTAATTTTTGTCAACCGCTTAAATATTATTTGTCCTACATTTTATTTAGCACAAATGTAATTCTCATTTTTTATTTAATTTAGTAGTAATACTGGTTTTAAAATATTGCCATTGTCTTTTCTTTTATTTAATATTCATCAAACGTTTTATTTTAATTTTTCTTTGCATCAACTCTTAACAATTCAACGTTTTTTTCAAAGTAAAGAAACCACTAAAATGGTCCTTTGAGGATTTGAAGTGTAGATTTGTTTATTTTCATCACTTTGTTGTATTGTGTGACCAAAGAAAATTGTTACGTGATTGAAAGTGGAAACAATTGTTACTTTAATTCTTAAGAAAAATTTATTTGAATTTAAAGCAACTCTTCCGTCATTACCTTGGATCAACCTATCTTTTTTATTATTTTGTTTTAAGTGAAGAACATCTTAATTTAAGGGGGTGTAACAATGCGACTGACTAACTAACTAACTAACTAACTTCATTTCTAGTTCAGTTCTAGTTCAGTTCTAGTTCAGTTCTAGTTCAGTTCTAGTTCAGTTCTAGTTCAGTTCTAGTTCAGTTCTAGTTCAGTTCTAGTTCAGTTCTAGTTCAGTTCTAGTTCAGTTCTAGTTCAGTTCTAGTTCAGTTCTAGTTCAGTTCTAGTTCAGTTCTAGTTCAGTTCTAGTTCAGTTCTAGTTCAGTTCTAGTTCAGTTCTAGTTCAGTTCTAGTTCAGTTCTAGTTCAGTTCTAGTTCAGTTCTAGTTCAGTTCCAGTTCAGTTCTAGTTCAGTTCTAGTTCAGTTCTAGTTCAGTTCTAGTTCAGTTCTAGTTCAGTTCTAGTTCAGTTCTAGTTCAGTTCTAGTTCAGTTCTAGTTCGGTTCTAGTTCGGTTCTAGTTCAGTTCTAGTTCTAGTTCAGTTCTAGTTCAGTTCTAGTTCAGTTCTAGTTCAGTTCTAGTTCAGTTCTAGTTCAGTTCTAGTTCAGTTCTAGTTCAGTTCTAGTTCAGTTCTAGTTCAGTTCTAGTTCAGTTCTAGTTCAGTTCTAGTTCAGTTCTAGTTCAGTTCTAGTTCAGTTCTAGTTCAGTTCTAGTTCAGTTCTAGTTCAGTTCTAGTTCAGTTCTAGTTCAGTTCTAGTTCAGTTCTAGTTTAGCAAAATGTCAAAACTCACATAGAGTAAAGCTAACCTCAACAAGTATTTATTTTATAAATAATATTTAAATAATATTTAACAACAAATAAAATATGAAGAATTACATCATATCTCTATACTAGTATTTCTAACGGTAAACTTGTTTAAATATTTATATCAATATTTGTGCAATAATATATAAATATATATGAAACTGTAAGTGTTAATGTTTACACAAGACAAAGTAACATTTTGAACAAATATTATTGCCAAAATCAAATATACAAGAAAATATATTGAAAACTTTGCAGCAAGGATAGCAGGATACCTATTACACTACATACCACATCTAAAACGAGAGTAAATAAACAATAAAATCTCTCTTATACATTTGTAATACCAAACAAATCCTTTTTTAAACGTACACCAAAGTACTAACATAATACCAGGCTACGAGTAATAGTAGACGGTAAAGGATATATACGTACACCGATACATGTGCTGAGAAATGTATGGCATACTGTTAGGGTGTTTAAACAGTGTGTAGTAAAATAATGTTTATATATATTATTTCATTGGTAATTGCATTTAGTTTTCTTATTTTGTTGGCCACTGTTTTTTGCCAGTTATTGTTTTGTTGATGGATGGCAAACGAATTCACGAATCTTTAAACAAATATTTTAACATTTCCGACATTTGCTGAGCACACGTCGAAAGGATTTACAAACATTTAACAAAACTGGAAAAAATTTAGCGAACAATTTTTTTGCCTAAAATTTTTGTTGGAAAAGATTTTATAAAAAAATTTGGAATAAAGAAAAAAACAAACAAAATCATCATTATGCATTATTGCCTGTTGTAA